CATGTAATTATATTTAGTATGGATACTATTTGCCATGTAATTATATATAGTATGGATACTATTTGCCATGTAATTATATATAGTATGGATATTATTGGACATGGAATTTCTTATAATATATTTAATACTATATAGAAGTTGTCAACTTTTTTATATGCATATCTTTCTAATGTTAACACTTTCTTGCTGTTTGAAATATGTTTTAGATATCTTTTGTTGTTGTTGATGAGTTGTATTAAGTGTGGGAACTTCAGAATTGTTGATATGATCTAAAATTCTTAAGTTATATATTACATGAAACTTTTAAAGGAAAATCCCGATTTTCACTTATTCCTGAAATGTAGAGATAGCTGAGTTAGGTTTGATCTGTTTTTTGGTGTGTGTGACCTAATTATTTGGGTCTTTTTTACCCTTCATGAAGTGAGGCAAAGGTGAAAAAAGCTAGTTTACATTTATTAGTATCAGATTAAAAAGATATATATATATATTCGTGGTTTATGCTAGTCTGAGTTCTAGTGGCATGAAGTAGTGACAAATTCAGTACTAATAAATATGGCCGAGTCACATTAAAATTGTATTTGTTTAATGATAATGTGTAAAATAATAGCCAGGCAGGCAGCACAAAAATTAGGTGTGAAGTCTCATCATAATCTTGACATCACGTGAACCTTAATTTTGACAACTAGCAGCCATAAGTTATCTGTTGAATTCTACTGTTAGTTTAATTTTAGCCAGCCCTTGTTGCTATTTATAACCAATATTTAATTATTTATATATAAAAAAAAAAAAAATTATAAAACTTTTCACACATACAAATTTTTCAAAGAAATAAAAAACCTGAGTCGTAAAAACAAACTGTTTCATAAGTAATTATGTTTAGGTAAAGCTATGTGGACTAGACATGATCCTTCACATTATTTAAAGCTATGTGGACTAGACATGATCCTTCACATTATTTTACCTTTTTATTTGTTAATTACTCTTTGTATGGCCATGCTTGGTAATATCTAATGTTGTAAAGGCATGTGATTTGTTTTGTTTTTAATTATGCACAAAGCTACACATGGGCTATCTGTGCTCTGCCCACCACGGGTATCGAAACCCGGATTCTAGCGTTGTAAGTCCGCAGACATACCGCTGTACCACTGGGGGGCAAAGGCATGTGATTAGTAACAAAAGTCCCATTAATTTATGGATCCATAAATGGCAAACAGTTCTTAAGTTTGCCACTATTTTAACAATATAATTTTGTAAGAGTAAACATAAAATAATCCATAGTTAAAAAAAACAACCACTAAATCCAAAGCACGTAAAACAATATAGATGACATATACTATTATGAAGTGTATAAGGAACGATTGGCTATAAAGTGCCACAGTAGATTAAATCATTTAAAAAAGTTGATTCATTTGTTCTGTTATTGTTACATAGATGACCATAAAAGCTAAAATCCTTAGATAAATTTCCTGTGAGTTGATTAAACAAGAAAACACCTTTTGATGCTACAGATTGAGTTTTGATACTCCCTGTGGGCAGAGCACGGATAAACCATTATGTAGCTTCGTGCTGAACAAAGAACGCACACTCACAATATTTCACTTGGATCAAACCCTGACTATGATTAGTTGATTACTTTCACAACATCAATCAATTTAATTATAATTTCAATAACTGTATAATAGAATGTTAATTATTTCATGTATTTGATTTCATCATAATTTTGATTAATTGATTATTTTACATGACACTGATGTAATCGGTGACTATAGGTAGTCGAGTGAATTGCCAAGCTTTACGTGTAATTATCAACTTACACTTTCATGTGTTAGTAAACAATATGGCTAAACATTGCTAAGACTAATTACATACAGATACTTTACGGTTTTTTCCTTTGTTAACATTCAGTCTAACAACAAGAATATGTTACTTGAAAAAACAAGAATGTGTTCAGTTCAGATAACTGATGATTGCTAGGTTTAATAAAGCTTGATTTGAAAAGGATACAAGTTATCCATAAACGAGAGTATCTAACAGTTCAGATAACTGATGATTGCTAGGTTTAATAAAGCTTGATTTGAAAAGGATACAAGTTATCCATAAACGAGAGTATCAAACACGCACAGATCTAGCACTGTATTCTACATGTATAATGTTACTGTTTGTGTGTCTGTAGTCCCTGTAAGTTGACAGTCAAATGTACTGTGTCTATAACATTTAATGGACTTCGTAAGTTTTTCAATTTGACAACTAGTTCTGATATAAGTACAAAAGCGTAGAAAATGGTTTTTTTTCAAGAATAAGATTAGAGCTTTTACATTAGTATACCACAATACAACTGGTACGTTGATGATGTGTTTAATGTAATATAATTAACTTTTATTTTAGTGTTATCATAAGTTTAATAATCCCAGCGAAGGCTCTGACCAGAAGTGGCCTCTTTGTGCAGCAGAGATGAAAAGTGTTATGTTGGCTGCAAAAGACACAGAAACGTGTATGAGAAGAAGTAATCTTGCTGCAAATCTGAACCCAAGTAATTCTTTAATTTAATGGATTCTTTAATGATAGTGTACGTGTATCATTGTATTGCACTAAAAGCTATCTCTGTTGAAATTCAATTATGTTGTTAATATTTATCTTTATAAACAATAATATATGCGTGGAAAATAAATGTGTATCTTGGAGGGATAAATGTTGGCTATTTCCAAATGCTAAGTAGTTAATAAACTTGATTACATATATGAAAAGTAATACTTTAGTAACGGCTGTAAAGTTGTAATTAACAACAATACAACTGTTAATATTTATCTTTATAAACAATAATATATGCGTGGAAAATAAATGTGTATCTTGGAGTGATAAATGTTGACTATTTCCAAATGCTAAGTAGTTAATAAACTTGATTACATATATGAAAAGTACTACTTTAGTAATGGCTGTAAAGTTGTAATTAACAACAATACAACTGTGCTATTAGCCTCTTATTGTTGACTACCAAAAATTGTCAATGGAACATTGTTAGTTTAGAGGGTAGGGTAGTGAAGTCAGCATGTGTGGAGTAATGGGGTAAGAAGTTGACTCTCTGAGTGAGTGCTGAAAGACAATGTTTAAACTTATTTATAAAACAAGTCAACAATATGTGAAGAATGTTGACTTGAAAACAACAAAATGGGCTAAAAATCACAAATATGCATTCTGAATATTCAACAGTGGCAAAAATGCCCCCCCCCCTCCGTCCATTGGCTCAATGGGAAATCCGAAGGCTTATAATGTTAAAAGCCAGATTTTGATACCCAAGGTGGGCATAGCACAGATAGCCCATTGTATAGCTTTGTGATTAATAACTATGGCAAAAAAACCTTATGAATTGGCAGCACGGAAGACAAAGATCTAAATATATGCCAGTATGGCTTACAACGATATGGCATTCCGGCACTCACTTCAGGCAAAGTTTATGTATAAAAGAAAAATTCCAATAAGTTTTTTTTTAAAAGGAAATGTTAGTTGATATTTGAGTATAGTTACTTTCTCAAGAATGATTATTGTCATACATGTTTTACTGTTAGGGCATGGAATGTATTGCATTGTTGGAAACCACTTTTAACACATTTACTTAATTTTCATATTAACTGTTTATCTAAAGTGCCAAATTCCATGAAATATGGAACACTAGTATCATACTTATTTTGTGTTGATAAGACATTCTGCTTATTTAATGCTTCTAATATTTGTAGCAACATTATATTGTTATTTATCAATTATTTGTCTAATAGATTTCTTTTGTTTTATACTGTAATTATCTAATTAGAAATTGAATTGTATTTTTTTACTTTAAATATTTATATAGAAAGCATTTTTTTTAACATTTTTAAAAAATATTTTAGATTGCTGGAAGTTAATAACGAGAATTATAATTTGTATTCATCTAGTCCAATACTGTGATCCTCTTAGTGGTAGGAACGTGGTGATGACTTTGTTTCCTTCTAATAAATCTAGTCCTCTAACAGAAAGATCGGTGATTGTGGTCGGTGCGAGGGTGAGTAAAACTTGGAGTTAAAATATCAGGCTATTCGGTAATCAGTCTGAACAGAATGTTTGGAAAAAACGCTGTAAATATTACATATATTTCTTAAGTTCTGAAAATTTTCAATGTTTGAATGCAAAAAAAACTGAATATTTGATTATCACTCTCGGGTTTCGAAGATCAAGAACCCTAATTTTTTTATACTATAGATAGTAATCCACTTATTAATTTTTATTTAATTAAAAAATGCACCAAAGAATATCGACTAATAACATGCAAAAAGTAGACAAATTCACTTACTTATAAAAAATTTTCCTGACTTTCTAACTATGTGACGAGAGTCGTTACAAATTCATCCAAGCTAGTCGTTAACTTTCCAACAGGAATGAATCTTGTACTGTGAGTGAAATTGATGATATTCTGTTTGGAATACAACATTATACAATACATCATTTGATAGATGAAAACCTTGGATTTCTATTGGTTATAAGTAATGTATAATTAAATGTAAGAGAGAACTATCAACGAATTGTGAAAGAGGGGGTGTGGCAGGAGGGGTCTGATTTTCTATTCGATAGCTCTGTAACAAAATAAAATTGAAGGCTCTAAAAATTGGTTTGTCTGAGCAATAATGATTTTATAGAGAGTATTTTATATTTAATTTTGTACATTTTCGAGGGGTGATGGATAAAATAGAGATGATGACATGCTAAGACAAAATGTGTCACGAGGGGCCCCACTAGTGGAATTTTTTTATATATTTCCTTGTAGAATTAAGAACTTAAAACTTTTATACTATTAAAATATGGATTATTAGCTAAAATTTTATGCTATTCTAATTGGTATACCATAAACAAAAAGTAGTTTAATAAAATTTTGAATGTAGACACTTAACACCTTGTTTCATGTGCAATAAAGGGTACCTGGCATTAGAGGGTTAATGATATACAAAATGGACTAAGGTATCAGCTATTATCATGTTAAAATTGACTGTCTTTTCAACATTAAGAAACATGAAGAAAACATGCAACAAATGCATGATAAGTGCAATTATTTTAACATAAAACAACTATGTATACATCCAGTACTGTCTGTTGATGTGCGGGTCAAAGCTTTAAATTTGTTATCAGTGTACTTAGTGGTTAGCATGCCAGACTGTGGATATTAGGTTCTGTTGTTTGTGAACTGTTACTGCAAAAAACAGAGTGCTTGGTACTACGGGTAGTCTCTCAGAGTGATGGTCAAATCCTACTATTCAGTCCGACAAAAGAGTTTATGGTGGGTGTTATTGACTGTCTGCCTTCCTCTGGTTCACAATTAAACACTAGATGAAAAGCCTAAATGTTTGTTGAATCTTGTGAAAAGCTATATTTCATGAAGATTCTTGAAAAGCCTAAATGTTTGTTGAATCTTGTGAAAAGCTATATTTGTGTTTAATTATGAACAGGAAGGTTGAATCAGAATTGGTCACAAAAGCTTGCTACTTCACTTTTCTCAGATTTCTCCCGTCCTAGTGTGTAGGGGCCATCTTGTATTTACAGTGTGATAATAGATGTAGATTTCAATCTTTTCCAGACTGGATGTGTTTGTGTATGTGAATAATTCACTAAATTATATAAAACTTGGCACAAACATAGTGAATTGTCCCTAGTCTTGGTCTTGTGTAGCTTGGTGCTAAACTACAAACAAACACACAAATTTAAATTTTGTTTTCTTGCTGATCAGAAAGTTCCATTTTATATATCCAGTCAGTTTCAACTCTGTTGATATTTATAAACAAGTTTCTTTTGAAAGTTTGTTTTGCCAGTTGTACTAATCACAACTCCTGGCTATATGACATAAAAAAAAATGTGTCAAAAACTGACAAAGATATATTGACCTATAACGTGATCTTTCACAGTGGTGTCACCATTATTTTTGTCATGCTATTCTTAGTCAAAATCAGCTTGTGTGTAATAAATGTGGTTTTGTTTCAATAAACAACAAACCATGTTCAGTATGATACATTTAACAATAATATTCAATAAATAAGGACTTAAGTCATCAGAATATTTTACCACTACCTACAGTACTTGCTAAACCTAACTAATCTTATCTGAAAACTTGTCAGATTTCTATAACTTCAAACAGATATAGTTTAATATGAAACATTTTAAGAAACAAAAATAATGTTTAAAGAAAGTATAAAAATTCTGTGGTCTATTCCCGATTTCTCTGTACTTCTCATTAGATTCTGTTGTTTTATTACTTGGATCACTTTATTGACTCCACATAGATGTAAATAGTTTATGATATTCTCAATCTAATGTTATTTAAATTTTTTTCTGTGCTACATGTAAAGCTGGGCTTCATGAATAGTTGTTGAGATTGCATGCTGTTAGATCATAAGGTTAAGTTGGTAGATGGTATTAAATTCAAGACACATGTTACACAAGCTAAATAGTTATGCTACTCTTTATCTTTAAAGCTTCTGCAGTATAAATTAAAAACGATTATTATTGTAGATTTAAGAAAGTATTAATAGCATTATTAAATAGGGTACATTTTATGAAACCTTTTTTTTTTTTCTACATAGATCGATGCATTTTCACTTTTTGACAATGCTGCCCCTGGAGCCGACTCGGCAGTTAGTGGATTGGTTACTCTCATGGCAACTGCGAATGCTCTTGCTTTACTCCGAAAAGATATAACAAAAAAAATGAATGAAAAGAATTTGACCAAGAATGTGTTGTTCATCATTTTTAATGGGGTATTTTTAATTCAATCTCTGTGGTTATTTTAAAGGTTCTTTGGTTAGTGAATTCTTTTGTAAAATATTTATTGCCTAATGTGAAAGAATCTCATTGAAATAAGTATTAGGAAAGTAATGTACACGTTGTACTGAAATACAGAACTTACAATTCTGAACTTTTTAATTTGTTTGTAAGCTCGTTAATGTTTGTTTTTTATCCTAAAGACTAAATCTTATTTTTTTGTTAGAATGTGATGTCTTTACAGAAATTTAATGTTTTCGTGTCTCTCACATTTTATTCAAGTCTGATTTCTATTTAGGCAGTTATTAAATTGTTTCTTTAATTATCTTTTTATAATTTATTTACACAATAATTTGAATGCCTCGTTTTGATGAATTTAACTTTATAATTGTCTCTTCAACTTTGAATGTGTGAAGATGGTGTATAACTTCTGAGTATTTCTTTGTGATAATATGAAATGGACATTATAAAACTAATGTTTTTTTTCCTTATTATTATTATTATTCTGGAAAGAAAGTATGTTCTGGATTAATGTTTAGAATGAGAGACATTTTTTTTGATGAGCAGAATGATTGTGGGTTAATCTTAACAACTTAGAACTTATGTTCTCTCTACAGTATTTTAACATTTGAACAATCTCTCTCTAGTTAAATTCGATGACGAGGAACCCACTTTGAGACTAATACTGGCTGGAGGTAGAATCAGGTACAAGTAATTTACACTGACACGGATATATATATATATATA